GTGGCATCTCTGCAACAATTCCAACATACAAAACAACAAACTGTAGATCCAGTGAACGCAAGACTGTGCAGTGATTCAGCTACATGACAGAAATGTAAATGTCACACCAGCTTCAACACTACAGTCAAAGCTGGGCCAGTAACAGTGCGGTCGGACAGGATTTAGCCTGGCAAAATGTACTTGCGTCTTGTAACAACAGTCCAAAAAGCTGGAAATTATACTCCTTCTTATTAAGACACTTTACTCTCAGTAACCTCTGGGTAAAGTTCACCCCCTCTCTCAAACTGGCTGGACATTGCAGATGTTATTTCACTTGCCAAAGTTCAATCAGACTAAACTTTGCATGAAGTTACAGAGGCAGGGTCAGCCCACAATCAGAAGCTAATACATCTTGCCCCTGCTCCTTATAGAAATGAATGAGAAGCTAAATGCAGCTGTGGAGTTTTTGACCACTAGTTGCACTCTGGAGAAATGTTTTTACGAGCAGGTCGGGCATTCACAGGAGGACGCAGGCAACAAGATGCAAATCCCCACTGGCCATTTCATGGTACTCTGCTGTCTGACAGTTGGTGTTGGTGACGCACAACAATGTGACAACAAAGGCAGTGGAGACAATGACTAGTACCAAGCAAGCAAGGATGTAAACACTGCACAATAAATATTCAAAAATAATGAGGAAGGACAACCATGTAACGCATTTGTTAAGCCTCAAGGATACACGTGCTATGTGTTTGAATGAGAATCACTGAATGTAAACAGAACTTTTGCTTGTTTACATAAAAACTCCACAGGACACCTTTAGGCCTGTGGCCAGCACTTGTTACAGAAAAGCTGTTGCTGCATGGTAAGGGAGTCGCAGTGGTGGTTTTGGGTGAAAATATAAAGAATGCAGCCACACAACCTTGAGACAAGCCAGTCATCTTTACTACTAATATTAGCAACCAAACACTGGTAGGTCTGCTCTCTGAAGGTGGCCAGCCAAACCACGATTCCATCTAACTACTGCTTGATTTGATAATCTCTTGACAAGTGACGAAAGCCGCAGTCTGTGAACTCATTGGTTTTGAACTACCTCAGCTGTCTCACACTTTCACCAAGAGAGCAATTTCCAGAGCTCAAATTATTTCCGATAATAATGGCCTCTCTGACCTCTATATGGAGAGCTTGAGTTTCTCCCGTCCGGACAAAAATTAGAAGTATTAAAGGGCATATCTAACAAGGTGAAAGAAATATTTTGTCTCCCATGCCATCAAACTGATAAATGCTCTTTGTGAGTCAGCTCATGATCAGTCTTCCATATAACAAGTGGGCAGTTAAGGTAATGATGTTTTTCATTCAATGCTGGATGTACTACAGGTTTTATGTTGTGTTTTCACTTTATATGATAGGTTTCAGAAAGTCATACAAATATAAATATTGTATGTTTTATGTATTTTATTATGTTTCATGTTCAAGTCTGTGTGTTTATTAAAGTTTCCCTTAGTTGTGAGACACATTTCTCTTAATAAAAAAATAAAGTTAAAAAGGTAGAAGTTCAGCTTTTCAATTCTGGTATTTGAACCCAATTCTACAATGACAAAGAGAGGCAAACTAATGACATGCTTGTTTCCCCAATAATTAATAAAAATTCCAGCCAGTTATTATTAAAATGCACTGTCTGTGTCTGTGAACACAGATTAGAGCTGAAATGATAAGATGATTAATTCACTGGTTGATTGGCAGAAAAATGATCAGCAACAATTTTAATAGTAATTTATAAAGACATGGTTGTGATAAATTGTCATGTACTGTTTGGTACTGATTTTTAAAATGTGAAGATTTGATGACTCTCTCTGTTTTGGACTTTTAGTTGAACTGAAAAAAAAGAGACACATGGAAAATCTTGAGCTCTGGGGATTTTTTCTCCATTTTATGGACTAGGTAATTCATCAAAAAAAATAATGGAAGGACTAATTCATTACGAAATCAACTGTTATTTGCAGCCCTAATCCAGATCCACCCTTGTCTTGCCACAAATTTAAGTCACATTTGGTAACACACTCCTACTATGATCCTAAACAAAGCTGTCTGGGCCGTGGAAATACATTTTCATTCTTTCAGCTGGTGTTTTTATCCAGGGCAGGAGTCCAGGATCTTGTTCAAGGACAAACTGAGTACACATGACTGATTACAGAAGATTCTACCTCTTAAAAAGACTAATAATTTACACTGTTGTGCATGAACACTCTGTCTAACTAAAAAGAAGACCGAGTTTTGCCAAGAGTGCCGTCGTCTTCAGACAACAACTTTAAAAACAGTAAAACTTTTGAGGATTGCGATACTTCAGTCCACACTCACTACAGTATCAAGCAGATTTGCTCATGATTAAGTCTAGAGGTGAAACAATTAGCCAATTATGTGATTAGCTGATTGGTAGAAATTTATCAGCAACCTTTTTTGACAAGCACTGAATCATTTAAGACATTCCAGCAAATATGTCAAATAGTTTCAGGTTCTCATTTGTGATTCATTTTCTTTATCATCTGTGATAGGTAAATGAATATCTATGGATGTTTGATTGTTTGTCAGAAAAAACAACCAATAAAAAGATGTTACATTGAGCTCGAGAACACAATGATGGTTATTTTTTACCGTTTGTGCACACTGTTGAATGATAAAAATAATTGTCAGGTTAATCAAGAACAAAAATTATTGTTTCAACCATAATATGCTCACATTTCTCCAAAGTCATTGCATGAACAGCAAATCTAAGAAACCCATCCTGTCCAACGACAAAAACTTTGACTCAAAGCTGATAAAAAAAAAAAAAAAACTGATACTCAAAGTTATGTTTATTTTCAAACTCTGAACTGTTATTTTTTTCCCCTTCCCGTTAAAGTACTGTACAGTCACACCTTCAACCCAACAATTTGAGAAGAGTAATTTGCCGGATGACTGAACTGCTCAAGAGTCATAAACACAACCTGTGGCGGCAACTCCAAGTAGACATGGCTTTGTATTAAGGAGTCACAAGAAGTAGAAAAAAGGCAACCACTGCTCTAAATACACACGGTCGACAATCTGCTCGCAACTTGCATTTGAACAATTTTTGGTCTTTGAATGCAACATAATAAAGGAGGGGGAGCACTACTGCCTGGTTATCTCAACCTCTGGCTTCCAGCCAGGTTTACTTGCTGATGTGACAGCTTTTGGTGCATATCCATCCAATCCACCCAGACTGGTCCAGATTCAGGGTACAGGCTGTACCCTGAAGTCTACATTAGTTACACATGCTTTAGCACTGTAAACAAACCAGCTGCCAAACAAAAAAGACAACATGAATAGCTGACAGGATGCAGTCAGAACCAGGATGACCAGACTGTAACTACAAAACTGCTTGTCTGCAGTAAAAAACACACATGGCTCAGAGACATGAAACCACGTTGCCTTGACACAGCAGGAGGAGGAGAGCTGCTCCATGGGCATCATCAATAATCAGTCCAAATAATCGATTAATGTGCCTTTAGTATAAGATAGCCCTTATGTGTAGTTAAATGACAAGATATAATTAGTTGTAATGGGTTTTGGCCGGATCAGTCAGATCATGCAGAAGCCATGATGACTCTGCCTGCTAGCTCCCATGCTAACGATAGCTAGTATTGGTGGACAAGCAGGCAAGAGCTGACAACGGATACACGACATGACAACCGTTTTATTAACCACCAAACAGCCAGACAGCCTCACCTAGGACAACCTCAATGATATCTGGTTTCTGCGTTTGCACTGATGCGGTGCAATAGCTAGCTAGCTAGCAGCGCCCATGCCTTTCTCTCGGGGAACACGTGGAGTGAACACGTGATGTCTCATAACAAACCTGCTCCTTTTTAAGAGATTAAACGAGCAGATGTTTCATGTTTAGTCGCGTTTCAGTGCCGACAATCGATCTTCGAAAGAATTAAAAAGCTGACATGTTTTACATAGGGTGACGGGAGGTGAGCATTAGCAACATGGAAGCTAAGCTAACAACTGAGTGTGAAGGGCTTGACGACGCACTAGGCCAGAGTGTGTGTGTGTGTGTGTGTGTGTGTGTGTGTGTGTGTGTGTGTGCTATTGTTAGCTGGCTTAGCAGCCACACACACAACCGACCAAGCTCGTGGCTTTTCTGCCAATTACTGCAATGCTTGACATGGGTGGATATCTCATTAATATCTGGCTTGACTGTGTGTCGAAACCTGCCTCAAAACATACATGTAAACACCAATAAACACCGGTTTAAACATTGGGCAAGTACAGGGAGTGTGTCAGCTCAGGTTTGACTGACTGGGTGGCAGTAGGTTGGACACGGGGGAGGGAGAACATGGTGATGAAGCAGGCTAAACATGGGGACATTTGAGCTCATTTTAAGTCTGACTCCTCTGTCTTTTCCTACCTTGGAAGTTTAAAGTCACAGTAGTAAATATGCACGGTGACACTGCTAAAATGTATAAATTTGATCTATTTGGGAACATAATCCCTCAACTGCACCTTAAAGTCTGCAGATCATGATTAAAGAGAAACAGAGTACACATGATTTCCTCTTAAACAGACCAAAAGTAACAATTACTATCACTTATCTTGCGATTAAAGGGGCTCGATGCTGACTGAGTCCTGATTCAACTATATAACAAGTAAGAGCCCTTTACATTTTAAAAAGATGGACCAACTTTTGGAGTGTGATTTTAAGGGTGTGATCCCTTGTGCAATCAGCCACCCATGGGGTCCACTCTGCCACCATGAACTCCAGGAATAGTCTTCACCAAGAGGGGGGGGGGCGCTTTCACTCCAAATATAACCAGCTTGCAGAGGGAGCAACAAGGGGGCGACCACAGACAGGGCTTGTTTATGCACCCCCTTGGCTCTTTTTGTTCAATAAGTGCTATCTAACCCCCCCGTGACAGTCCTCCGGTGGTACCACACCTGGACGGACAGACACGAACACAACACTGACGGTCAGAAAATCAACATGTAGGGAGGGTACAAACCGTGGTGTGCTTGTCCATTCACGCTGACCACGGTAACCGCATTCATTTTCCTAGTCCACGGGTTCACCTTGGGCGGGGGAGCTTCAGTAAACTCCTTTCTGCTGCTGCTTTTAACACCCTCCTCGTTTTGTTTGTCTTCGCTGTCACAGCCCTCTTTGCTATCCTCCGTCGCCTGTTTGGAGGTCTGCTCCTCCGTACATGGGGTCCCTCCCTGTCCGGGGCTGCTGCTGCCGCTGCTGCCCTGGTCGGCGACACCCGTCTGCCGCTTGGCCCCGTCGCCCCGTCCGCCCTCGTCTTCCTCCGGCTCACCTCGGATAACTTTGCCGTGCTCCTCCGCTTTGGCTAGCGGGTTGCCGGGCAGGAGAGCCTCCACCTGAGTGGCCATTTCCCACCACCGTCTTTCTTCCCCCCTCAGGATTACCAGTCCTCCCCCCGGCCCGAATTCGCCTTCAATTTCAAGGAAATGTGAAGTTGTTCCGCGGAGTCTGCCGCTCCTCTGTCGCTCCTAGACCAAAAGAGCTTCAGTCTAAGACGCAGAGCAGTCAGCGTTGGATTAAAACATATATAAAAATAAAGAAACGTGTCCGAGGGCCTCTCAGGATTACAACCTTATCTCCACCACCAGCAGCAATATGGATGATCCCCACCACGCGATACAGGGGTGCGCGCACGTACGGTGTAGAGGGGGAGTAGCCACGTAAAGTCGGGAACGCGCTTTTGGGTCATGATGAGATGCTGCTTTCAAGTCGTTGTAAAACCTCTCAATTTCGGAAGTCATAAAGTGCCACTGTGTTGGGCGCACTCGAGTGCTTTTAGTAACGAAATAGATCATAGATAGACTGTATTTGGACTAAGTTAGCTGTTTAAACTAGTTTGATTTACTGCCAAAAAGAAAAATTAAGAATCCAAATAATCCAATTTGGTGCTGCAACAGGAGAAAAAATCAAATAAAGTTGTCAGTGCAACTTCACCACATCTTTTATGTTTGATTTCATTAGATTTAGAGCATCAATTAATTGATTAATCGGATATTTGATAATAAAAAAAACACCAACAATTTTGAAAACTGATTAATATTTGAAAGTAATTTTTAAGCCAAAATGGCTTAAAAGTTACTTGTTCCACCTTCACACATGAATATTTTCAGATTGATCAGATTGTTTGGGAAAATAGTGTGTACAGTGACAAATAATAAAAGTAATAGTTATTGAAACCCTAATTAGAAAACAAGCTTCCTTTTTCCTTGAGGAGGAATTTCATTTTTGAAGCCAGTTAAACGCACAAATAGGCCTACATAAAATGATCATTATCCTGTTGCACACGACAAGGAGATACTTTATCTGTCACAGTATGAAAACTTTAAGATCTACAATAATTACACATTTGTCCCATTTGTTAGTAAGAAATAATACAAGTGACCCATGTAAAATGATTTCCACACTAATGACATACAACACTAAAAACAAATAAATTGAACAGTGAGACACATTTGACAACATAGTATCACGGTCACTTTTATGACTGTGATTTCTATGTTTTATCAGCTTGAAACTTAATGACTTTTCTTACTTTTATGAGAACTGCTTATGAACATGATTTTAAATGATGGCATGTTTGAATAGAAAATGACTTCAGAGTTTATTCATTTACTTAGATTTATATTATTGAAGTTTTATGACAGCTTGATCATAAAAAGTCTAACTTCCTGTTAGAACTCCCAGGGGTCTCACTGGCCTCAAACATGATTGTCTGTAAATGACTTCATGGAAAACAGGATCAGTAAATATTTGTGCATGAGTAACACATATAGAATATAAACTGAATATATATGAATTATTTTTCTTTTGTGGTGCAATAATAATCCTGTACAATCATTTCTGTATTTTGTCACCTTCATTTGTCAAATGTTTTCACCGTTTGTTGAAGAGACTGCAACAGAGAATGGTTACTACTTCAATACTTCTCTATATGTTGGGTTTTAATGAAGTCAGAAGAAAAGAAAAGAGAAAAAAAAGGTCATATGGTTGTTGGATAACCAAAATCAATTGGTTATCATGTTTTTCTAAAGGAAGATTGTTGATTTTGAAATTATTATTATTTATTTTTAAACACAGTACGGCAAATGTTAGCAGTACACAAGGATTAACGTATTTCTTCAGCTAACAATTGTATTCCGACAAATATGAACGCAGCACGGAGCCCTGGATGACGTCGGTCTCGCCCTCCGGAGGCGTCCGCAAGTCACCGTTAACTCATTAAATGTCTGTCACAAAACACGTTTACTGTAATTACCGGTGGATACGATGTGACATTTGTTTATCTGTGTGCCATGTATTTTATACTATTCTGTTCTCCAATATATGTAAAAGAGGGCGGGGAAATTCACCTAAACCGCTCTACACCGTCCCTACACTCTACACACGTGTCCATACCGGAGCTGCACGTGTGCGCTCACGCTCTGAGTCCAGTTTTCCTTTTTATTTTAGCCTTTTTTCCCCTGAAGCCTTATAATTTCACCACAACACACCAGGAGTTTGAGTTTGTGTCCGTGTTCTGTCCATATCTACTATTTGGGATCCTGTGTGTCGTGTCAGTGGTGACATCCAATGTGTAGCTCAACCTTAAAGAACCTTTTTTTTTTAATTGAGTGGTTGATTATATAATAGCAAAAGGGGTTCAAGTAGGACTTAACGTGTGCTATTTGATAGTGTGTGTGTGTGTGTGTGTGTGTGTGTGTGTGTGTGTGTGTGTGTGTGTGTGTGTGTGTGTGTGTGTGACAGAGTGAAAGAGAGTATGGGGAAAGGTGAAAGAGTGTATGTTTGAGAATGAAAGTTACACTTTGAATAAGGGAAAAAAATTAGTCTTCACATGAGATAATGTGCCTCTACAGCCACTTCTGCTTTTATTCACATTGGTGTAGTAACAGACTCAGTTTTCCTCAGAGAAACAAGAGAAGACAGCCTGATTTAGCAGCCATCACCAGTTCATGCAGAATTACTACATCAAATCATGTGGATTTCAGATCCTACATTCAAATAAAAGCAGCAATAACACAATGTAAAAACATCTCTGTTAAGAGTACAAACAGTCGAACACAAGGTTTTCACAACCAATGTACCAATGAACATCAAGACAAATTCAATGCACAGCAAAGTGTTTTTCAACTGAGTAATACAACTACAATAAGGAATAGTGTAAATACATGTAGTACTAAAATAGTTAATAAAGTTGAATCTCCAATGTAAAACTAACATTAATGCTATTTAAAAAAAACTTTTTATCTTACTTATGAAAAATATGAAAATACACTTGAAGTGTTAAAAAGTTAAAAATAACTTCAGTTGTTGCAGGATTCCTTGTGTGTTTACAACTAAAACCCTAAATATGCTATCAGTCAGTCCTGATCATGATACATACCGTATATTTTTTCTCACAGCACAGTACTGTGGCTGCATTATTATGAAAGGTGCAGCAGTGGCTGCTATTCCTCAGTGTTTGAATGATGGGCGTGTCAGTGGGTGTGCAGGAGAAAACATTGTTGTAATTAAAAGAAGAAGCTGGAGATCAAGAGAGAGAAAAAGACACAAAGAAAGAGTTTAACATTAAACATTAAAATGACATTGCTCGCATGGATTCACATCCATCATTATACCTGTGCTACTGTGATGGGTGGTGCTGTCTAATGAGTACAACAAGAAATAAAGCTATCCCTCTTTAATGGCATTCTGTTGTACAAGTGATTTCATTGTATATGAATGTCTATAAATATGACAAACTATAATTAAACTGACCCAATGGCCTTGTCATCAGAAAAAATCATGGTTAAATTTGTTCAATATTAAAGACACAAAACACCTTTGTATTTCAATTTAGTTCAGTTTTAACCAAGACATGTTTCTTTTACCTGAAAATCATCAAAATTCTCCCTAAAAGTTAGTACGCATGAGAACTTTGAGTCAGTCTACTAGGCAGTGGTTCAGACATGAAACCCCATAAAACTAGAAAATAACAAAACACAAGATGGTACCTCCTGTGGTTGCACCAAAGCCCCCCCCTCAAAACCCACAGACAACGACCATAATCCCCCGACTGAATGGGGTGTGGTGGACAAGACCGGACCGGCCGCACTCTTCTGGCTGCTGTAAATCCTCTGGCTGTTACTCAAATTTTAGTCACATGACCACCAGACATTCAGTCCTCTGGGTGAGAAAGGCAAACATTCAAATGTCATATCCCTGCCTGAACACAATGTAACGAAAGACGAGTGTTCGGGTGTGGAAATCAGTGCCTGATAAAAGCTGGTAAGGTCATTGAGTTTTTAAATTCTTAACAGAAGCATAAATGCTTGTTAGTTGCAATATATTCTGATTAAAATCATATGCATGCTAAAAATAACAAAGTAAAAACAAAGAAAGGTGCATCTATAAAATATTCTGTTCTCTAATCACCCCCATTTCATACAAAAGCCCAACAGCAGATATTTTTATTTTCACCTCTTTCTAAAAAGGTTGTTTAAAAAAAACTGGTCATGTCATGTTTCTGTCAACCTGATGAATCTAAATCTATTATTCATTCTCTTTTAACTCTGTTTTTGGTCTCTACCATCTCCTGAGGGAAATATCTAGCTCTTTAGCTTCTAACTGCTGCACTAGATTCACCAGCTATAGTCGCTAACTGTGACTGTCTGCTGTTTGGTGCTCAGCATATAGTACACAGTGAGTTCTTGGAGCTTTTTTTGACTGAAAATAGCTGCATGCTATGGCTGAAAATGCCACTTTAAAAGCAATGAGAATGAAAAAGAACAGTGAAGTTGCTGCCAGATAGCTAAACAATGAGCTGAAACTCATTATAAAGCTCTGTGAAGTTGAGGTGAGCTGCTGATACAGGTGAGAATTCTCTAACTTCACAACTATGAGCAACAACTTCTACACACTCACATTGTTTTCAAATCAATCATTTGATACATTATTATATAAATGTTGATTATAGTTCCTTTAAACAGTGCAAAACTACAAGACAAAGTAACAGGTTTAACTTGTGAAACTTGTGCCTATTTACACAATGCAATAACAACAATCTTACAAGTTCATTGTGTGCCACACTGCACATGGTGGGTTTAATAAAATCCTGATCTCAGTCTATATCAGACTGTATGATATCAATTGAGGCCCGTCAGATGGTGAAATGAATACCTGGTGAACTGTAGTGCTACAATGTAAATAGTAAAATATAAGCAGATCTCATGTTTTGAAAAAGTAGAACATTTTAAACACGTTTTGGTTTCAGTGCTAGCACTAAAACCCCAAAAGAAGAGGAGGAGGAAATTGTGAAGCTTGTTTCAGCCAGGGAGCAGAGAGTCATTTTAAATGCTGTTTTTTCAAAGTTAAGTTAGAGGTAAATATATAAATACACAGCCTGTCTTAGTGTTTTCTCTCATGATTGTAAATATTTGTCTGGAACAGCCAAAAATCATGTGTAATGGGGCATTTGTTAATCATCAATCATGATGGCCAGATTTCTTGCAGACTTATCTGGAAAGATTGAGGAGGAACAATGTTGTGTTGAAGGACTGTCCGGGGTCTA